AGAGAGACAGACAAACAGACAGACAGGCAGACGGACAGAAAAAACACGAGGGAAGACGGACGGACCACGGTACAGACGACAAGGAGGACGAGGAGGACAAGGAGGACAAGGCTGAGGTGGAAGAGGAACTGACGACATCGCTTAAAACAGACGACTTGGAAGAGGAGAGAGAGAGGGAGGGAGGGAGAGAGAGAGAGAGAGAGAGCACCTGCCTGGTCGATTTCCTCGAACGCTTGCTGGATAGCACGGGGACCCGGTGGTGCTTTGGTGCTTTTCAATAATTCCTCGAAGCGCAGGCCCGCCTCGTGGCGGTTTTTATGCCGATCAGAGCGAAGGACGAAGGAGTCATCACCTGCGCGCAGTCTGGGCTCCGTCACTGCATTTCTCTCCCTCAGGAAATGCCCATCACCTGCTGCAACCCGCAGCTTATGGCCCTGAAAATCCGACCCGTTCAGCTCTGCCACGGCCCTCGCCGCCGCTTCCACCGACCGCGGCTCCGCGAAGTACAAGAAGCAGAACCCGCTGTTCACCTCCGGCTTCTTATGCCCCTTCATTATAACTATCCTATCTACCTTTCCACACTGCGCGAAATACGCAGCCACATCCTCCTTCGTCACCATCGGCGGTATACCCCCGATGTAAATCTTCCCTTTCTCCCCTTCTCCTCCTTCCCCCTTCTCCCCGCCACTGCCTTCTCCCTCCGCCCGCTTACCGCTCCCATGCCCTTTCTTCCCTGCCGGGAACGACTTCAGAGAGGGAGCAGAGGAGGAGAAGGAGGAGGAGGAGGAGGAGGAAACGGAAGATGAGAGAGCAGATGAAGCACGTGATGACGAGCCCGACTCCACCTGTGATGAATCAGCTGACTCTTCTTCTTCTGACCTCTGCTGCTCCAGCACCGCCGCGATGGGGCCCCTCGACGATTTCTCAGCATCGGTTTTGTCGTTATCGATACCGACAAAAGAGACAGCTGCCCGTCGATCTTCCTCTGCTTCACCTGACTCACCCGCGCTTCCCTTTCCCGCTTCCTTATGATCTACCTCACTGGATGTGGGCGAGGTCAGCAACAACGACGACGCCGATGGACTTGACGTGCAAGTGAACACCGGCTCTGCACCGCTGTCAGAGCCCTTTCTGCTCAACCCCGTTCCTCTCCTGCTGCTGTTGCCCTCTCCCAACTTGCCCCCTCGCCGCAAGGTTGCCGTGGGCTTCTTCGCCTCTACTCTCATGTCAGCGCCGATCTTCAGATACGTGGCGGCGTGGGAACAGTCGCAGCAATCAGATTCCCATGTCACTCTGCCGTCAATTCTCCTACCTTGACCGGCACCAGGCACCAACACGGACCTTCTCGCTGATGAAGAAGAACCGAACGGTCGGAATTGGTGTCGGCAGCTGCCTGATCGCCACGTGGACGTGTCTACTTTACTCCACGCACCCAAGGGCGAAGTGGAAGTGGATGACAATTTACATAGCGATGAAGAAGACCTCGCCGGTGATGACGATGAGGATACCGGCCCTGATGGCGGAATCGCCTCGGCGGCTAATGGATGACTGCCACTCCTCGTGATCAACGGTTGTACTGCTTTCGACAAGGTGACAGGTGGCGATCGGAGAGCCATTCTTCTCTCCCCCTTAGCAGCAACAAGGTAACAACTCGGCGCGCCCCGCCCGTCCACGTCAGCCCGCGCAACCCCCCGCAACCCCTTCCTGTACTGCGCAGGGAGACAAGTGATTACGACCCCTAATGGTAACTGATGCCCTCGCCCCCGCCGCCACTCCCAATGGTAACGGCCGCACGCGGCCCTGCCTCCACCCCCAGTGGTAACGGCTGCCCCCGCCTCCACCTCCAGTGGCAACGGCTGCCCCCGCCTCCACCCCCAGTGGTAACGGCTGCCCGCGCCCCTGCCTCCACCCCCAGTGGTAACGGCTGCCCGCGCCCCTACTTCCACCCCCAGTGGTAACGGCTGCCCGCGCCCTTGCCTCCAACCCCAGTGGTAACGGCTGCCGCCGCCGCCCCTCACTCAGTCAATCTCCCAAGCTATCCAAAACGGACACGACGACGGGACTCGGTTTCCCTCCCGCCCATCCTATTCCCTCCTGACCCCCGGCACACGTTCTCCCCGCTCCCCGCCCCGCCGTTTCCCTTTCCAAGGACCGCTCCGCTCGTCTAAAACAGCACTCCCTTCTTGGACCTCGTCCTGTCCTGTCCTTGGAACCTCTACACGGAAGATCTCAGCTCCAACCTGGGACCCCGACCCCCATCTTCCTAAAACCATTGGCACACCCTTTATTTCGCACTTCCGAGCCTACCCCCACTTTATCAAGAAGTTGCGGTGGCCGCGTTGGGCGTGACGTTGGGAGTCACAACACTAGCCAAACAGAAGGCCTGGTCATTATAGCTGTATGGATAACAGTCAGTCTACATGGTACATATAGCCTTCTATTCGGACGAAGAGGGTAGTGGGTCCTGGCCCCAGGCGGGAACACCAAAATTTGGATGTCTCTTGCCGCCTTCATGCAAAGATGCACCTGCCATTTTTCCATGCGTCTAAGGGCAGAAAATTCGTGAGGGACATATTTGTAAATATAGGAAGCATGGGCCCGGTACTAACTCGAATTTCCTACAGCTACCCTAACTGCGAATAGCGGACCCGGGCTACCCCTAGGACAGACAGGCCCAATGGGCCTACGCTGATAGATGGTCCTATAGCTTATAGCCGGGTAGGGAGAGGCTGTAGAGGCCGAAACAGAAACGGTACCGGTCGGTCAGTCAGTCCGGTCTAGGTCGTGTCTAGGCTAGTTTAGGGTATAGATGGGATAGGGACATCGGTCCTGGGCTTTTGGCAGTTGACACTTCGTGGTGGAAGTTGCTGCGCACACGGTATCAGGTCATGGTTGCTGATTCTGGTGTGCCCGCCAGAAGGACCCGCTATTTATTTTCCCTTTCTAGGAGCGGCGGCCTGAGGTTCGAGGGCATGCTCACGAAAATCAATGCCTTCGGGGTTGGGATACTCACGGAAGGACCCACCATTCATTTTCACTTCAGGGAGTGCCGAAGTGAGGCCCAAGAAGTATTTTCACGGAAATCAATGCCTTCGGAGTTGGCATACTCACATAACTTTTTGTACTAATTTGTGGATATGATTGTAGTCAAATACATCCAGGTCGGGCGGTAATGCAGTCAAATATATATATACAGCCTTCTGATGAGTCGGTGAAACTCCGACGAAACAGTTCGTCACAACCCCTCATTTGTTGTCCTCTTCTCTCTCTCTGCCTACGGTTTACCGAGCAGTTCTGTTTGTGACGATATATACTACGACTTCGCTAGCTTCCTGCTACGTTTTTTTCCGGTCAGGTCGAGCGGCAGTGGTCGGGGCCGTTACTAGGCGGCCATGCTGTGCCTCTAGTGCCAGCGGCGTGTCTGGAGTGTATTTTTTGGCTGTGACAGACCTTTCTTTGTTTCGTGGATGTTTTGCTGGCTTATGAT